CCCCCAAGGATGGTGATTATGCCCCAACGACACAAAAGCTTTTTTTTAAAATATTTCTGGTGATTTTAATGATGAAATTGAATCATCGTTTATTTATTTACTTATTTATTTTAATTTATGACCATATTTTGAGAAAAACGTATGACTGCTGCTTTTATTGTTTAGACTAATTTAAAACAAATCTATGTTTATAACTTGTGTATGCTTTTTTATTTGACTTCTTATTTGAAAAAGGTTAAAGCAAATTAATGACTGACTCAAGACAGAAAAAAACTTCTCTATTTTGATGATTTCGACTTTTTTGTTATCTTGTGTTTATTTGAAGGAAGATCRAAATGTGTATTTGTGTGCAAGGGTGTAACTAAGAAATTCAGGGCCCCTGAGCCACCTCGTGCTTTTGTTCCCCCCCCCTCAGCTTTAGTTTTTTTCGGCAACGCTTCAGTAAATTCCCATCTGCTTTCTCCCTCAGCTCTGGTGGCGACTGTGATGTAAACCCAAACAGAGACGTGTGCTGCAGGGAACAGTACTTCATCGACTTCCGCGCGCTCACCTGGACCCAGTACTGGATCATCGAACCGGCGGGATACCAGGCGTTCAGGTGCACCGGAGGCTGCAAGCAGCCTAAACGTAACCACGGCTATGGGGAGCGGCGGTGTGTGGTGTCGGAGAGCGCCACGCTGCCCATCATGTACTTGGTGAAGAAGGGGGACTACACTGAGATCGAAGTGGCCGAGTTCCCCAACATGATCGTGGAGAGGTGTGCGTGCATGCATGACAACATCTCGCTGGTATGAAGGGAGCAGCTGTAGTGTCCCTAAAACTACGAACTCCTGGGATATTACATGTTGATATATTTAATGCTGTGTCCAGAATTCTCTATTGAAATGGACATTTCTGGGAGAGCTGTGAACCACACGCAGAGCTGCCACCTCCCTCCACAAGCACTTTCATTTATTTTGTAAATAAGAATTTGTACGAGTTGACTAATCTATAGTGCAACCATTCAAATTCTGTCCGATTCTTCCTATTTTTTCAAGCTGTCCATATTAAGAATAAGTTTTATGTTTGGAAAAATAAAATATTTTATTTCACTTTTGGCTCCTGATTGTCTTGTGAGTGGAACTACTCGTGCTCAGTTCACATTCCCTGATCACTTCACATGCAGTCAGCAGCAGCCTCTCGTCTTTCACCTTCTGATTTGCACTCATAGGAAATTTTAGAGCAGAGTAAATAATTTCCCTAATGACATCTGACATGCGTTACCTCACAGAGGCTTTGATAAAGATGGTCAAGCCTGCTTGTAATGCTTTGTTTACAATAATAAGAAGCCTTGCAGGCGCATACGGCAGAAACTGAAAGCCAATCCGCATTGAGTCAGCCTCTTTCCTGGTGGTCATCAGAGCCTGACCCAAATGCTCTGCTGACTCAGTGGGGGGGTTCTGTCATTCACTGATTAGGGTAAACATGCTGTCCTGACAAAAACGATCAGCTGTCTGAACGAATGACCCCCACCCACCTGTCATCCACACAGGAAACACTGGTGTTTCTGTAAAAAAATAACAGCAGGGCTGCTTCCAGAAAGTTTTAAGAGGTGGGCAGGTGGGGGCGCAGGGTAACCTTGAGGTGAAACATCAAAATCAAAAGCCAYATCAGCAGCTCAGAAGTTTTAATTAGTTGCTGTCAGGCTAATAGAATTTGGTTGTAATAAAGGAGTTACTGAACTGGTTTTATAGTTGTATTGTAATTTGTGGAGTATTTGCAAATTATCCAAATCTATAAAAGATTTGGCCTGATGCATGCTTTTTTTTTGAACCCTTAACTATTGTCTCTGTATAAATAAAGGATGGATAATTAAATGAAATTAAATTTAGTCTTGCTTTGTGTCTTTACAGTTGAAATTAAGACCAGAATCACAATTCAATTCGTCGTAGTTGTTCTCTTTCGAAACTATCATTTCTTGAAAGAATGCATATTACCCGAATACCAAAGTTTAAAACAAAGCTCTTACTATTAGTTTGTGAGGATGACCCTCAGCTATTAACCACCTATTACTGGAAGATGTTTGACCTGTGTATGTTTGGTAGCAAAATATYTCATGAACCACTGGACCAATGACTAATCACTGGATTTACATCTACAATTGATTCACCTTTGGAGCCACCTCAAGTCAAAATGAGCTAAGTACTGAACACAGCTAAGACCCTGTTGGATTGTTTCCATCATATGACTCCAGTCTCAAAAGATTTGTTTGAAATTGTTTTTAAAATTAATTTTTATAAACCTTTATATCTGTCAATTTTGTATGAAAATTGTTGAACAGTGGCAGTAGCACTTGGCTTTAACAATTCCAGCACAGCTTGGGGCATTTTTGAAGGAAGGTCATAAGAATTGCACTATCCATGAAATAATAAACACAGAGCAACATGAAGGTTTGTAAAATAGTATTTTACAAATAGCATTATAAAATCCTCTATAGTCGTTTGAAGACCATGGAAACCCCTTTGGTCTTGGCCTTGCTTAGCACCTGGTTTGTCAAGTCAGGGTTGTGTTTCCTCATACCTATGCTCCCTGCCAGTACACCCATTTTCCCCACTACCATAATACAGCACTTTTCATGTTTTTAATACATTTGAAGGTAGAATCAAGCTTCTTTCATGACTTTTATGGGAACAGATATGGACCCTTCAAGCTGGTTAAAATTTACCTTTATTTCTCCAAACTGAGGTTGTTCAAAAAGCTATCTACAACAGTTAATTTCACCACAGAAGCCCATCTATTGCTCAAGTAAATTGTTTTACTTGGTATAATAAAAAAAAGAACTGAATGGTACATCAAACAGCAGGACATGAGACAAATTTCCTCTTCACGTCACATTTATTACTGCGTTAAATCAGGAACATTCATGCATGTGTAAATTAGTGGTGTATTTACATCTTAAATGTCAGAATAAGTAACTGAAACATCAAATCTCGTGTTTCTGGCTGTATGCTGTTGAATGTACAAGCCACACAGCTGCCAAGAAAAAGGCTTGGAGAGGTTGAAACACAGCAAAAACTCTAAACATGTCCATAATATACATATAGTGCCATTTTTATGACTTTAAAACGGTGGTTGTGCAGCCCTTAAAAGTTTGCTGGTGAAAGATTAACTCTGGTATTATAAACCTGTTGGAAACTTGAAATGACAAAATAAGAAAATATGGAGGCTTGATGAGACCTTTCTCCTGAGAACGACATATTTAATGCTCTAAACTGAACAAGAAATCAAACCACAAATTAAAAATATAATGGCTAAAAATGGCTTGGTTTTACAGTTTAGTTAACATACTTTTAAACACTAAAATAGCTAAAGCACAAGAAATACGACACCTAAAAAGAATCCTTAAGTACTGAGGTGTTAGGAGCTTGCTGCTCATTCAAAGGTCTTTTCAACACCTTTGAACTAAATCAAAGTCATAAGCCAGGAAGAATGTACAAAAGCAAATAAGTAGTTTATTGTAGGTCTATGAAAGTGTTACAGTTTTAATGGTGGGAAAAATTTTACGGTAATTTATCTGGGGCTCTCCTTAATATAGCATTGACGTATACAGTTTAACAATAGAGCCCAGATTCCATTCAAACATTACATTTTTTAAATTCACAAACTATGCAAAAAAAAAAAAAAAATACAATTTGTAATAGAAAGCAAAAATATCACAGCACATAAAATGCTTATAAACCTGGGAAAATAAAACTTAAATAGTCCCACTGGGAGGTTTCTGACATAGCAAACATTTTCTTTAAAAGCACATCATCTGAAAGTGGTTCAGTCACAATGAAATATACAACAAAATAAAAAGGCAAAACAACAATGACTGACTAATGAAGCTGAACCCACACTATGAAAGGTTTGATTAGACTTGTGTTGCCTTGTCTCCTCTAATGGAATGTTGCTCCATGTTGCTTTAATCTTTGATTGGTGGGGTTTCAGGTGACTGAAAGTAGATTCTAAAAAAACAAACAAAAAACCTTAAAAAGCAGGGCAGAGTGATGCTCCGTGGCTAGCGGTGGGTTCTCAGTGTTGACCACCAGTCCATTAGAACAAGTGTCTCAGTAATATCCAGGCTGATACTGCTGGCTCCAGGGTTTCTGGTTCCAGAACTGAACAGGAAAGAGGTTTCAGAGTTAAAACAGAACTTTATGATCAAAGTATTTCATAGAACAGTTTATTTAAACAAAAGACAATCTGTGAACATGTAATACTGAAGTAATACTGAAGTAATACTGAAGTATTGGCATTCCTTGAAGAAATCGCCATCGCAGAAAACGACAGAATTGACTACTATTGACATGTTCATTTGCATTTTGTTTACTTATATTTGTGCATTACAAATAAAATAACTAAAAACAGGGATCATATAAATAATGTTCTATGAATCTACCAACATAAACGAATCAGTTTTAGACAATATGAGATGTTATTTAGGTAGAAAAACCAATAGATATTGACATAGTTGATGCATTTTCTAATTTTTAAACTAAGAAACCCATAAACCTATGTCTATATAAACTCTGGTATTTTCTCTCAAGGTTATACAGTTAAAATTGGATGACTTTTAGCTACTACCACACCAAACTTTATCTTAATATCTGTAAAGTGGCTGAGCTAAAGTCAGTTAACTCCGGTGGCCATCTTAAAGTGGAGTGACTTCAAATGTTTTCAGTTGCAGATGTACATCCAACGATTACTTTCTAAAAAAATCCAAATTCCATCTAGTGGTTTATGAGATATTTTGCTAACAACGTTGACTCCAATAATTACTGGCAGTTTTAAAACTAGATCTTGTTTAACCGGTTTGCACTCAGCTACTACCACAATTTTTAGCTCAGTAGTTGTTTAACTGACTAGTTTTTGTCATTTTTTATACAGCATGGCATGATAAGACTACACATTTTACTTAAAGACCAAAGTAGGGATTGTGGAGATACTGACCCCTTGCTGCCAGCTCTGGTTGAAGGCCTGAGCCTTGTCCATGCCGTTCCTGTTGCCAAAGTTCCCACTGTTCCTGTTGTTACCAAAGTTGCTGTTTTTGTTGCCATAATTTCCACAGTTGCCACCTCTCTGCTGGAACTGTAGAGGACAACAGGCAAGTCAAATATAACCTCATGTTTGGACATTTAAGTCCACAGCTGTTTGGTGATGTGACAGAAAACTGATGCCATATTTGGTCCCACCCACCTGACCCGGATGGCCCCGGTTTCCAGTACGATTCATGTTGCCTCCACCACCTCTGCTCATGTTCCCTCTGTTCATCTGACCCCCTCTGTTCATGGGTCCTCCCCTGTGTCCCATATTTCCTCTCATTGGTCCACCTCTAGGGGATCCACCAAGACTGGGAATGGGGCCTCCGCCCCGGCTGAAGCTGCCACGACTGGGGAAACCACCTCTGTAGGGGGGTGGGGGAGGCAGAAAGCTACGAGGAGGTCGGGTGAAGCCACCACGTGGTCCAGGAGCTGTGGACAGAACAATGTGGGCTTGAGCTGTAAGAATTTGAATCCTGGTGTTCAACATGAGAAATGTCACAAACTTCTGTTCAAACATTTACTTTCTATCAAAGCTACTTTACCTCCTCTAAAGCTGCCTCTGTTCTGGAAACCTCCACGACCACCACCACCACCTCGCTGTCCAGGTCCGCTGCGGCCAAACTGGTTCTTGCCTCCACGGCCCCGATCACGATCACGTGGTCCGCCACTGCCGCTGCCTCCTTTTTTGGGAGTAGTGCTTCCCTGGTTGGGCTTCTTCTCAGCAGGCAGAGCGGTCTTGCTCTCCTCTTTGTATTGCTCCAGCAGCTTAGACGCATCCTCCTTCGGTAGCTCAGCATAGATAACCTCGCTGAAGCTTTCGCCCTCCTCAGGCAAAGAGAAGAAGCCTGCAGTGTCAAAAACAAAATAAACCAGAACATAATTAGAGATAAAGTTCAGAGAAAATTAACCTTGGCTCTTTGAAATAAAACAGACATTACCTTTCATTTTAAGCAACGCATGCTCAGGCACTTCTTTACCATCACCCTCAACCTTCTTCTGGACTCTCTGCTTGTAGTCCTCATCTGAAGGGCAGACCACGACAGCCTTGCGCTGGAAGCCAGCAAACAGACACATCTTCCTCTTCTGGCCAGGTGCAGACAGGTTAGTCTGGAAAAAAAAATTAAAATTAAAAAATAAAATAAATTTTGAGGTATATTATGTAAAAATTTTAGACTGAAAATATTAGTTTGCTTAGAAAACTTACATGATCCAGAATGTAGTTTCTCTTCTTGCGGGCAGCAATCTCGATGAATTTTCCCAAGAAAAGTGGTGCTCTTTGAGAAATGGTGCTGAGTTTGGTAATATCCTTGGACTGGCGCTTTAAGCTGTTCATCTGTGTTCATTAAAACATAAATATAAAATAACCAAATGAAAAGCAAGAATTTGGAGTCTTTTCTAAGAAATGGCCATATCTCTACTGACCATCATTTTCTCCACTATGGTGTCGCTGCTCAGGATGTAGTACTTCCCAGGGTTCTGTTGGACATGGTTCTTCACCCATGTGGTTTTCCCTGAGCCTGGCAAACCAACCATCGCGATGATCTGCAAAGCACAAGGGGTTGAGAAAAACTATGTCCAACACATGTAAAACAATGAAAAAACTTCGTATTAAAGTCATCACTTTGCTCACCTCACAGTCAGCCTTGACCTGGGGTCCTTTCTGCCCCCGCACTCGCTCACTGACTGGGATCTGCTGCAGGAAGCTGTAGCCCTGAGGTTGAGGGAAGTACGGTTTCTCCAATTGGCCAAAGTTAAACTCCACGGCACAGTTRCGACAGATAACATGAGGGAAAAGGGCCTGGCCATTTAAAGAGTCCTTGAGGACTTGGAAAGCTACAGCTGGTTCACCGCCATTCTTGGAGAAGGACATTACCACCTCGTCCCCCTCAAAATCCTAAACAAAAGATGCAGAGATAGTTTTGTACAAGGGCTAAAGAATTACAAAATGTATGCCAGGATATACTTTTAAGTATATTAAAACTAATCTCACTTAGTTTTAGAATAAATACAAATCTAATTCATTCTCTTACAATGAGACAACAGATGGTGTCATTCTCCTCGAATGTTTCTCCAAAGTCCTCGGTCACACAGTTAGTTGTCTTTTTGCCTTTCCAAGAGTAGGCATAAGAAAACTCTTCCTCACCTTCACAGTAAAAACAAACAAGAAAGGTGTAATGATGGTTAGAAATTGAGACACTTTTCAGATTTTATACATGCTRAACAAAATAATCACCTCTCACCATTTATTCAGTAATTTCATGTTGATTTTAACCACCAGAGGGAGTGGTTGTGATTTATCTAATTAACCTATGAGACTGTGGAGCTAAAAAAAAAAAAATAGTACTGACCTAGGAGCAGTGAGCCATTTGCCAGGGACCATCCAACCTGAACGTCATGAATCTCCAAGTTTTTGCTGGAAATGTGCTTCACTGGAATCTTTTCTGTCAACTGAAATAACAAAGCAACACACCTAAACATCACCAGAAACAGCAGAATTTAAGAGATACACCAACCTCTGAACAATAAGTGACTTTAATGTACAACGTAAAAAAAAGTTTATACATTTTAAAACATCAGGTATTACCATACCTTCAGCTCAAAGCAAGCTTTGCCTCGGTTCACACCATAGGTGGCTTTGCCTCCAGACCAAAGATAAGCAAAACTTTCCATAGTGAGAGAAGAAGCGCTGTAACGGTCACGTGACACCTTAAAGTGCAGGTCGCAGTTGTCTGGAACACACAGAGTTGCAAAGATATGTCTTCTGACACAGTAAATGTATAAAAGTTCTTAAAAATAACAGAAATTTACATCGTCCTTTGTTGAAACTATACAAATATTGTAAGTCTTACAAGTATCCAAGCAGACTTTAGTGTCATCTGACTCCTCATCTTCCTCCTCCAGTGGGGGTACAGGAGACTTGAACGAGGCACTGAAAAATGATAAGAGCAGATTATTTAGACAATTCTCATGTGGGTGCAGCTGGGGACCGTTAGCTGAAATTTTTTTGGAGGAAGGAACTGGAAAGACAAACAGAACATGACTGAGAAAGTGAGCCTCCAAATATTTTGGAAGGCTTCCTGTATTGTGGACCCTGGCAGGTACTTACATTGCAGTATCCAGTGAAATCTATATTGTGAAAGATACACAGAAAAAAAGCACTGCCACTAGCTTTGATTAGACAATGTTCAAATCCTTTTAAGGTGGGAGTGTTTGTGTTGTCACGGTTTTTGGAGTTGGTCACAGCAGGTGAAGTTATAATTAACATTGTGTGTGGAAAAACGGACATAAAAAGTCATAAACTTCTGTTATAACAAGGACAACACCAGCTGGTTGAAAAAAGCTGCTGCAGTTTGAGATTTTGAACCTAACTTATTACAAACAAACTAAATCCACTAGATTTACTAGGAAGATGATCCATTTTATTTTGGTGTGGAATGATTAAAGTCTTCCTGAATCCAGAGACAATTGTAGCAATTGACCCCAACAGCCATGAAAGTGATACACTTGCAGTCTACGAGAAAAAACAAAACAAAAAACACTCTTTCGGTTCTTGGGTTTACTATTTTGGGACATAAAAAATAGTTTTACCAGGTTCTAAAATTATTCAAATCCAACCTCAAATACACACAAAAGATTCTACCATACCACTATWTATTAGGGCTGTAGCGATACACKTATCTCACGATATGATACTCTGCTCACGATACAATATAAAAATTTCAAGTGATACGATTTGATACGATTCGATTTTCTGAATGTTTTTAGAGGGACAGAGTGATTTTGGTGACATTTTGTGACTGTTCCATAGACTTGAATTGAATTAATTGAACTGAAAACTGATTAAAAGCACCAACTACACAATACTTGGCTCTGATTGGACAGAGACTTAGAGTCTAAAGCTGTACAAAATTAATCAAAGATGCGGTGAGAAAATTAGTTTCCTTTAATTGAAACAGTGCAAACTGCAGCTTACAAGCCTAAATAATATTTGGTTCCATCCAGGAAACTTTGGCAAAAATAGAGCAAATGTTTCCAAATCTTCAGGATTTGTTGTTCATAAGAGGAATTAAGAGTTATGCTATGTTCACATCAAATGCGTTTTGAGCAGCAAAAATGCACCCAACGCCTTGGACGCACTACGTTCAGACCAGGACAGAGACTAGATGCGCGTCTGAAGAGGGAGGAGCGTCTTGAGTTTTTCCTGGTCTGTCTTCAGTGAAATAAAGAAAATGACTTTGCTTTATTAAATTTAGAGCAAGCAAACGCTGCGCACACCAAATAATGAATTCACCAGATAATTTAGAGGCGGTCTATTTAGTTAGTTTCACCTCTCCAGGAGCTGCGAGCTGACAAACTATATTTTTTGTCCTGAGCCCAGTTTAACACCGTGGTCAGTTTAACGAGCTGCTGACCCACATCGGTGCTGATATCTCCAGCCAGAACACCAACTACTGACGGTCGATTTCAGTGAAAGAGCTCCTGTCCGTCTGTTTCAGGTTAGTGGGTAACATTCAGGAAACCGCCACGTGGAAAAAATGATTCTCTGAGTGGTTGACGCGGCGTGTTGAGCAGCAAAATTTCACATTTTTGAACTTGGAGTGTCGGCTGCTTTGGACGCACTGCATGCACGGAAAATGCTCTACCGCACCTACCACTTCCTTGCGCACTGCGCTAAATGGGCTAGACGCACAGCGAGACCCTAGACTCGTGTCCACCATAGACTTTGCATGTAAACTGGCTGCTTTGGCTGCTCAAAACGCGTTTGGTGTGAACGTAGCATGGACTTAGAGGTAAATTATTTTGTTCCCATGTTACAGAGGGGGAAGAGATTATTTTAAAACAACTGAAATATTTGGTTGTTGTATCAGCAACAAAAAAAATAAATACACACAATGTGTTGGAAGACAGTGTTTGGTAGCTGAATGATAAACAGTGAGGCTAAAGAGAACATGAGAAAAGTTGGAAAAGGACTGATAAGGCAGGTTTTCCCCTACATGTAATTGAAAGTGGCGCTCCGCCACGGCTAAAAGCCGCCACACCTTCAGAATTGTTTTTTTTTTTGTTTGTTTGTTTTTTTAAATCAGCAAACAGGGGTTGACACAACCATTGTTTAGGTTGTTTGAGACAACACATTTTTGTTTCAGACAACCAGGTCCCGCCTCCCGGTTTTCTGGTGGACAACCAAGAAAAAAAAGACCTAGGTTAAAGTTTTCCTCCGCGGGTGTTCATCATTTGTAAAAATGAACGGGAGAAAAAATAAACTCGTTAAAGCCATCTAGGGATTGAACTGATGGTTCTTTCACCCAATAGGGAACCAGAGTCAAAGTTTTACCCAATCAGAACAGAGCAGGGTGGGTGCGCACTGCCTTTTTTCTTTCTCTGTGGGTGGGTGGTCAGTTTTACTCAAGTCAGGTGAACACCTCCCGGGAAAGCCCTCAGCGTTTCCTGGGGGATTACGTCGTATTTTATATATATTTTATTTCTAAAAGCACCTCGCAGCAATTCCACCAGAACACTGTGTGTTCACGAGCACAAAAACACCGCGACAAATCACCTGACTGAGGGGCAGCAACTATACCTCTCCACGCGCAACACGGCCCCGATCTTCCCGGGACTTAAGAGTCCACATGTCAACCCAGGTGGTTACGTGTAATGAGCATCAACTCAAATATCCTTAATTTGTGTGCAAAAAAATCTGTATTAATCACACGCGGGTGCAGTGGAGGTGCAAGCGGACCGCAGCTGCGGGGGGTGGGGGTGTCTAAAATCACAGAGTTCTCTGAATCAGCTTCAGGTGTTTGTTGTTAATCATAAATATCTTCTAAATTTAACCAGGTGTTTCAATGCCTTTAAATTACACAATAATTTTACTGGAGAAACTTGTCAGTTTGGTTAAAAAAATAAATCAGTAAAAGTACATTTTTTTTATATCTCTGCTATAATTTTTTTAAATATACGTATATGCTCATCAGTCAAAAACACTAAAATGATGGAAGAGATGTTTAAAAACCTCTTTCCTCAGAAAGTCTTCAGTCCTAAGAACACTAAACTGTAACTTTTAATAAGGTCATGTACACAGTACACTCCTATTTAGATGAAAATGTTTAAGCAGAAAGCTTGTGAATGTTTATTTTTGCTCTCTATTTCAAAGAAGAGGATGAGTAGGAAGTTTTACTCAAGCAGCTCCTGAAACCTGTTGACTGAGAACATTTGCATATACTGTTTAAACTTTGTATACAGGACAATTTAGCCTACTTATTAAATTACAATGAGATTTTTGCTGACAATCAGATTGTGACAACCTGTTGTCCCCAGGATTGTCTTGGATATGAAGAGAAACCAATGATGGAGGTGCCGGGTGTGAAGGGAGGGTCAGCCCACCAGTTTATACAGATCACAGTGATGAGTGTGAAAGGGTGCATAATGSTGCGTTCACACCAAACGCGATTTCAGCATCAGGATCATCAGGTTTACATGCAAAGTCTATGGTGGACGCGCTTCAATCAGCGTCGGGAAGTGCTGCGG